AACACTTACCCGGTTATAACCATCACCGTTTTTGATATTTTTTGAATTTTCATGTCCCACAATTATTTCGTCCTCACTTGTGTCGTTTTCTTGTTCAACATTCCTGACATTTTTAACTTTGTAGGCCACAGCAAAATGATTTTCAATTCCACATCTCCTACCTACATTTCTTTCCATACGCAGGGCACTGGCGTAGTCCATGGGTCTTCCGACACCTCCTACATTTGAATGTGTCTTCGTTCTTCTCGATTTTGTTCTGTGTATTGTATCTTTGTTCATACTTGTTTTTGTTTTGCCTATGAAACACATTTATTTCTGCAGCATTCTCCTGGAATAGAAGGCTCTGTTGCCTGCTTTGTTCACTTGCTCTGCAGAAATGTATTGCTTGTTCTAGGGTGAGGTCATCCACACGAAGCAACGCTTCCTTGTAAATAGTAGGGTCCTTTATACTCATGACTATTTTATCACGTAGAGCTCTGTCCTCATTTGACTGCAATGGGTTTATCTCATTAAAATTGCAGCTTCTAGTCAGGTGCTCACAATCTGTCAGAAAGTGTTCGAAACTTTCAGCCTCCTTTTGCACCCTTTTATAAAAAGTATATCTTTCGAAGAATTCGTTAATGCGGGGGCTTACGTATTGTGCAATAAGTTGTAAGGTAAATTCATACTTATCAGGCTCGTTATCAGGTATCTCAAAAGTGGACATTATGCGAGCAGACTCTGTCCCCATAATATTTCTCAAGATTGATAATTTTACCTCGTCTGCAGACTGACCTGTACACAGTAAAAAAAATCATGCAAAATTTTACACGTAAAGTGGTCTATATAAGGCCACACCAATTTGTGTATATTTAACACCAAGGTTTTTGGTAAATTTGACGAGAATTTGCGTGAAGAATTTACACAAAACGGTGTTCAACATAATACACCATATCATGTAACTTTTACACTAAGTTATATTAAATATACACACAACAGTGTACGTATTTCCAAATATGTGTGTTGTATTTACACAAAATAGTGTTAATGGACAGGATGGAACATCCTGTTTTTTGTATGATTTTTTGGAAAGTCGCATTTTTTACGACTAGTCTGTTGAAAAGATTTGATATTTCGATAGTTATTTTTATTTTATTTTATTTTATTTTCTGATGTTTCATCCTTAACTTTTTCAGCTTAACCTATCTAATTTAATGGGAGGTATAGGTAATCACCATTCCTCACAAACTTATTATATTAAACTGGTAAAACTAAAATTATTGAGGATAAACATTAAAATAAAATAAAAATAGCTATCAGATCAAATATTTTCAACCAGAATAGACGTGAAAATGTGCGACTTTTCCAAAAATCATACAAAACACATTAAAAAACTGTTCATTTATGGCGTAACTCTTTAGTTTTGGAGACTTTGGTTTTGGTTTCTAATGATTTTTATTGTAGACAACGACAAACGAACATCAACCATTCCATCAGCGCATCAGCACGCTTGGAACTGATCACTGTCACACAAAAGAAGGTAGAGGACGGAGGGCTTGACCCGACACACTGTTGGGTGTATAAACGTTCGTCTACCGTGTAAATTTAAACATTTTTGGTGTTCATTTAATGAGAATGGTGTAAAAAATTACACATTGTCATGAGAGTAACACGGAACCAGGATATAACTTTGATTCAACACTGTATTGTGTAATATATCAGTTTACCAAAATACTGTTGGTTAAGTGGACGGCACTTTACGAACAATGGTGTAAAGTTTTTACACACAACGTGTTTACCACTTTGTCGTGTAATTATACACGGGATTTTTTTTTACTGTGTAGCAATCAAGTAATCATGGAAGGAAATCTTCCAAAACTTGGATATTGAAATCCGGTGGCAGTTTGACAGGTCCACCCATCGCCATTATTATATGATCGCCATTATGCTATTGGGGCTGCTTTGCTTCTTAACTTAAGCATAGTTGAGCGATCAATCGTACCAGCCAACAAAATTTGTTCAGCACATTGGGTTCATGAACTTGAGCATACACTTGCACTAACTTTTACTTTTTTGCGAACTGCGCCATGTTTTATTAATATTTTATACTTGAATAAATGAAAATACTGTTTATTTACGAATAATGTATAATGTAAGTATTATACTTGTGATTTTGGCAGTAGGTATAATGCCATTTGTTATTCCCCATTTCCCCAAGAAATAATGACGAGTAGAGGATTTAATAGTCATTATTCCTCAGAAGTGTCGGTGTCAAACAGTCAAACGTGTAGTGCTTGTGGATTTATATTGAAATGGATGAGATTTGTTCATTAATAAAAATCTCAAATAAATTAATTTGTCGTAAATAAAGTAGAGTATACTACTCGCAATAATGGCTATTATTCCCTAGGAATGTTACTCCCTCGCCGCTAACGCGGCTCAGTTCGTAAATATTCCTACGGAATAAAAGCTATCATTATTGAATCGTGTTATAATCTACTATTTTATTGAGAACATCTATTTATTAATAATTCATGACGAACAAAAGTATTGATCTCTGTCAGTGTGCTTTGACATTAATTTCTTGACGTGACATCTGACATAGACACTACATGCTAATACTAAAGACTAATATGTACATATACATTACACAGAGTACAGTAGGACAATCACTTTTTGCATGGATATCTCCCGTTCGCAAACGTCTGGTTAAAAAATTATACTTAATGTGTTGAAATTTTCGAAAAATTTTGAATTTTTGCCTTTAGATTCAAGATGCTTCGAGCGATTTTGTTCAAATTTTCAGGGCGTATTTGCGATGTTCTCAAGCATCTTTCTTAAAAATCCGTTTCAGTTCCACTTTTTCAGGACCCGACCTTGAGCGACTCTAATTTTTTTAAAAGAAAAAATTGGTATGATCCTGGGTTTTTTGACAAATTAAAAATTATTTTTTGATTCCTTATTTAATTTTAAACAAAAAAGGGATCCCGGGTTTTTCTTGTTCGATGCGACGTTTACGAGATTAAAAATAAATAGCAATGTATTGTTTGGGAAATCTCGTTGTTGGATACACTCCACTCTGTTGAAAAAATAAGAGTCGCTCTAGGTCCGGTCCTGAAAAAGATGGAACTCGAACGGATTTTTTAGAAAGATGCTTAAGGAACATCGCAAACACTCTCTGAAAATTTGAAAAAAAATCGCTCAAGGCATTTCGAATCTAAAGGCAAAAAGTCAAAATTTTCCGAAAATTTCAACACTCTGTATTTTTATAACGAAACGTTTGCGGACACATTTACCCATGCAAAGAGTGATTGTCCTACTGTACTCTATCTATCATAACAAAATGCGCACTTATTCCGGACTCACCTTGTACATTTATAAAGTTCGATAGGTTTATACTAGCAGTTCTGGAGGGAAAAAAAATTAGGTCTGTTTTTGTCATAAGAAACAATGTATTAGAAAAGGACTCTATATCTGTGAGGAAAATGAGAAAGGTCTCTTTCTAACACATTGTTTCCTATGACTAAAACAGATATTTTTTATTTTTTCTCGAAAACTGTTAGAGATAAACCTATCAAACTATGTCTCATTGAAATCAGCAAAAGCAGAGCTATCCAATCACCCTATACAGGGTGTCTGATTCTCATTTGAAAAAATGTAGCATTTTTAAAAACACCTCGTATCTGAAACACGCAAAGGACACTGACGATTCTGGTGACGACATTTTCCGCTTGACAAAAAAGTAGCCGATGTTCGCGAAAATTGCATCCTTTTAACTCCAATAGCAACCGAGTTATTTCTTAAGTATACAACCAAAATGGGACACCCTGTACAACTAACATATTTCGATACTTATTTCAACATTATATGTTACAATTATAGGTACTAGTTTATATATAAATTAAGAAAATGACGCAAATGTTATGTAAATTGTTATTAGAATTACGGAATTTGTTTGTGTTGCGTTTTGCGCCTAAATTCTAAGCCATTTTTCTGGGTCACCTTGCATACTAAGAGAATAGGGTATAGCGAAATTTGAGAAAAATCGATCGCCAAAATCCCACTAAGGTGTGCGAGGTTTTTTGTTCATAACAAGAGAAATTATTGTCTATTCCAGGCTGTCTTGAATTTAGGAAAATAAGGGCCGGTATTTCAAAATTACTTTGAACTTTGATATACGGTGAAACTTGTATCAAGAATGACTTAAAGTTATTCTGTACTTAGGTGAAATTGAAATACCGACCCTAAGTATGAAAGAAACAAATTTCGGAAGCTTGAAATTGAAAAGTAAGTTAAACTCGAGAGCCTAAAATAAGAATAAACAGCGTTCAAGCAAGAACCTAGAATAAATGAATATAGGGAAATTTCATGTGCCACAATGAAAAATGAAAATATTCAAAAGCCTGAAATGGAAAAATAATAAAAATTCAATAACTTTGAATACATTGATATGACAAGGAACTATTTATTTAAGTAGTTTTTTCCAAATGTTTCCTATTCCAGGCTCTTGAATAAGAGCTAAATTCTGGAGTACAACGATAATGAAAACTCAGGAGCCTGGAATAGTATAGAAAAAAAAATAAACGAAATTCCAAAGCCTGAAATAAAAATATGGAACATTCAAGAGTCTAGAATAGAATAAAAAATGAGTGGGAAAACAAGAATCAGGAAAACTCAGGAGCCAGATTTAAAAAATGTTTACCAGTAACTAGAGAACTAATTTAAAAAAAAATCAAAATATTTGTCCAAATTCTAGCTGGAAAAATAATGGCAAAACTAATTGAAACAAAATAAAACCACACACTTCCAAATTGATCACATATAATTAGCAAATCTCAAAAGTACAAAGTTAAATTTACACAAATTTACATTTAATTATACACAAAAGTAAACCCATTGTAAAGGTCACAGCCTTTTACCTAAAATAATGAGATCAAAATCATGCAAATGATCTTGGTACTTTACAATGGGTAGACAATAAAAATACTAGACTAGGTAGAAATGTTTCTCAATAAGAAATTTTAACTTCTTTGCATTTGCTTCCTTCTCAACATAATCATCTTCTTCTCTCGTTCGATTGCCGCCAGCTGGAACTTCATTTTCAAATTCTCCTTCTCTAAAAAAGACACCCTTATAGCCAGCTCGTCCTCTTTTGCTTTCCTGGCTTCTCTGGACCGTTTAGCAGCTTCGTTGTTTTTCTTGCGCCTCTCCAAGTATTCGGGATCGTTTGCCTTTTCAGGATTAGCCGGCACGTTCCTACGCATATTCCTGTGACTGTGAGGCTCCTCTTGAATCCTCGATATCACTTTGTTTCTGTAAACTTCGTATTCCTCGTCCAAACTAGGATCCAAGGCCGAAGTTAAGGTTAAAGGGCTTGTTTTGGAGGCGGCTAATGTTTTAAAAGGCCTTTTTATTGGTGGTAGTTGAGGGACTTTGTATACTGGAGAATTTTGTTGTGGTTGAGGTTGATGATCTACTGGTTCAGGTTGATAGAGGACTTGTTGAGGTTGCGGCACCATTATTTGAGGTGTTGCAGCTGCGGCAGCATATTGAAGTTGTTGGAAAAAGCCCAAATGGCTGATGGATGAAGTGGTTGGTATTAAGGCTTGAGGTGGATAAGAGTACATGGGGAGGTTCGGCATCATGTATGGGTTCTGGTGGTAGCTGGTCACCGGATGGAGGTGTTTGGGCATGCTTAAATCCATCACCGACATCTGAAAAATTAGAAAAGAAAATACTCAGGATTTTTTTGGTTTATATTGGTTGGGTTAGTTTGAATTTTGAAGAAGAAATTGTTAGAAAAAATGCTTGTACCGTACTTGAAGTGACTTATGGCTATTTGCACCGCTATAACTTAAGGGATATTTAATCTAAATGGAGCTTGTAGACACAAAAGTAATATCCAAAGCTTCACTTAGAATAAATATCCCTCGAGTTATAGCCGTGCAAATAGGCATCAATAATTATTTGCCATAGACAATACAAAAAAAAATCACTCACCTTTAAAAATAATTCCAAAAAACGATAAACAAGTTAAACACTATACAATAATTTTAATATGTTCTAGAAGACCGACCAACACTGACAAAGAATGCGGCACAAGATACCATTTAATATGAATCAATTCCTTATCACTTGCTTGGTCATTTGTACAATGATAAAAACGGGTCTTGAAATTTTACCAAAATCTATTCTGCAATTTATGAAAATGTTAGCACAGTAGTTCGTATCTTGTTTCCAGCACTCAATTGAATAAGGACAAGTAAACAAATCTTGCTGTCCACTAGACAATTTCATAAGGACCCAGTAAAGTGACCAATGGAAAGGGACTGCGAGGGTGGATCCACCCACTTTGCGAATTTTACCTATTTTTGCCAAATATGTGCGGTTTAGGAACCGTTATGTTTTGCTACCTGGTTTTATACTGTAAATTTCTAGAGGTACTGTTAAATTTAGGAAATTTGATTATGTATAGAAGCCAAAACATAGTAAGTACAAATTTTCTAGAGATAAAAATTATTTGGTTCAAGGAAGTAGGTACTTAGTATTCTTGACCCTAATGAGGGTGTTTCAAAAACCAATTTAAACGACAGAATGTGACAGGTAATAGACAGCCCGATATGAACAATCATTATTGAAAACCCCAAAAATTTATAGGTACCTACCTAAACATTCATTATTCATTTTACACTTCTTATCCAAATGAATGGCACTCTTGTTTGATTATTTATTTAAGCCCCTTAATTGAAAATTTACCTGGGTAAATTTTTTTTTTTAGCTTTTACGATCCCCTTAGGACAATTAGGTGCCGTTCTATTGAGGTCCACAAAAAAATACCGCTCTATGCTCTATAAACAGAGCAAATTGGCACAATATAACGGTACCCTGGCAAAAATTTTATTAGTTTTTTAAATTGGACTGTGGCTCACTGTGGTGGGTTGTAAAGTTCTTTGTCGGTTTTTGCGGAGTTGGAATATTTTGTCCGGTAGCTTTTTTTTGATTTTTGTTAAAAAATAATAATTTTCCTTTATGTATTAATTTTTTTTGTTGAAAAAGCTGTAATGCGGGATCTGATAGAGTGGTTATTTTCACAAGCTCTATGCGGACTTTTCTCTATAATTCTCAATAAATTCCACAACTTGTTTAAATTCCGGAAATGGTATATCTGATATGGAACATTTTAATTGTTTCTCAATGTCTCCGTATGAGTTTTTGGAAAATAGGTAATAACTCCAAATCCAGAGTATTGTTTGAACCACTAGGTAATGATGACTCTATTTTTGAAAAACATTCTGTAACTTGTACAATAGTCACTCTTTCTCAAAACTTCAATTTTTTTTTAAATACCTATAACAATAAATAGTTAATGCTGAATTGGAAAAATCAAAAGTCTGTAAATTTTTAGAGCCACTCCGGACAAAAATGAAATTTTGGATTCTAATGGTTCAATTAATCGTCTTTTTAGAGGCCCCATTTGAATTATCACATAATTTTTGAAAAAAATTCTTCAAAGTAGTGGAGGACTGATCGATATGCCCTCGATAAAGGTGCAATATCGATATAAATTTTTCATATCGATAAGGATCTTGCAAAATTAAAACCAAACGCGAATATCAATGTTTTAAATGATCAAGACATCCATATTTTTTTCTATTCCAGGCTCAGTTTTTTCTATTCCAGGCTCTTGAATTTTCTTTATTTCGACAAATTCAAAAGCCGAGAATAGACAAAAATTGAGCTGAAAAAATTGAGAAATAAAGAGAAGAAAGACGTCTTTAACATGTCTACAAAAGTTTACTACACGTTACCACGTTTCTCATTCAATTTAGAAGGTAGGTACTGGAAACCATTTAGAATGCTACAAAACACTTTAGAATTTGGAAAGTTCAAAAAACTTCAATTCGAAAACATTTTAAAAATTTCAAACTTCAGAATGCCCCAAAACATTAAAAAACCTATTTACAATTTCCAAAAGCATTTTAAAACAATTCAGAAGTTTGAAACCCATTTGAAGACGCTTCAAATCACTCAAACACTCTAGAATCTCCAGAAACATTTTGAAAAACCCCAGAATCTTTAAAATTCAGCTCTAAAAGTTACCAAATTCCCTTTACAATAAGGCTTTTAATAGCGAATTTAGATTACTATAGAACTTTACACCTTCAATAAGGATCCAAAACAGTTCAAATCCAAATCAGAAGTATTTTGGAACAATTGAGAAACTTCAGAGGTATTTTTAGTGTGGTGAGGTAGCTGAAAATTATACCAGAATATTTCACGTCTGGCAACCAATTCAGATAGAACATAGAGACGAGCTAAAAAGTCCGGCACACAAATTTTTCTAGGTCTCTAGAGGCCTTGATGTTAATAATCATTATTGCCGCCTTAAAATTCTATATTTTCCTATATAACTCGAGTTTGTATTTTGATATTATCTTATATCATTAGTGAACAATAATCAGGAGAAAAGGCGCTTCCCAACAGTATATTGCTCATCATCATTTAGGTTCCTACCTAATACCCAGAAATACTTGCAAAGATGAAATTATTGATTTTTCTTTCGATTTTTACGAACAATAATTTTGCTTAATAACTTAGAATCCGTTATATGTAGCTAAAAACTTGTATCCTTTTTTGTGCGTGAAAAAACCTTTAGAACGCTATACAGGGTGTCCAAGATAAGGATGCCTATCATGGGGATCTCCGTAAACGGTAATAGGTACGGAAATGGTTAAATGAGAAAAAAGTTCGCTATTAAATGACTAACAATATGCATGCAAGAAATTTAAAAAATTCTGATAACTACCGAAGATATTCGTGAAAAACCCAAATTTCCCGAATTTCAGAAAATTTCGTTTTTTTTTTCGAACATCTCTAAAAGTTGTCAATTTTTTAAAAATTTGTTGGATGCATTTTGTTAGTCATTAAATAGCGCAACTTTTTCCTATTTAATTGTTGCCGTATCTGTTACCGTATCTGTTACCGTATCTGTTACCGTTTACGAGTTCCCCATGATAGACTTTCTTATCTTGGACAGCCTGGTATATAACTGCTATTTTCTAATCAACAGTTGCTGAAAATCTGCCAAAAATATTTATGTAAATAGATTCTAGCTTTTTTAGGACGTTGAAACTTTCATTTTCATTTCAAAATCAGTGACATGAGTCACACTTAAGGGATAACTATAATGTACAATATTATTCCAGTTTATTAGCCAAACATAATAACATCATATTCAATGTAATCCAAATAATGTATTTAATTCACTTGTGATCACCAATCACTCTCGGAGCACTGTCTTTCACATAAACAAAGTTTCGTTCAAGGTATTCCCATTTTAACACATTTACAAGATGTGCATCGCTTTCGACAAGCACAGGAGGTAAGTTGTACACAGTGTTTTGACACGTCTGGAATTGTTATCCACACAGATTGGTATGATCCTGCTGAAGTTAGTATCCAACCCCAGCTGGTTGGCGAAGGAATTGTGTATTGAAGCTGTTGTTCCAGATTCTTGCTTGGAGAGCAGCTCGTTTGATGTGTTGTTTTAAAGCATCTGCTGTAGGAGGAATATTTTCGATTGCCCGATTCTTTCTTGTAAATAAGAAAATCTGATGCTCGATCATAAAGTAGAATAACAAAACGCTGCAACAGATCATGACATCCATGATCAATATCAAAGGTGCCTGTACAGAGCCGCTGCCATACACAATCAATTTTACGGAATGACATCCAGACCTTCCAAGCTGATGTCTTCTTGGCAGTGCCACAAAATGTGGAAACTGAGTCGCAACTAGTTATAGAATGAAAAGCCAATAAATTTCTGCAAATTTCCGGTGAGAGTGTGGCACAAATCTTATGAATTGCAATGAATTTTCTGTATTTCCCACAACCATACTCAATTCATAGTTCATCAATAGCTCGTATTTTTTGTGGGAACAATTATATAGAATATAACCACTACATCTGATTCCACAGTTCGAATTTAGACGCGAGTATGTCCACTTTCTATTGCATGCTTAACATGGAAAGGTAAACGGCCATCGGCTACTTCGTGTGAAGCGGGAGAAATGCGTGAAACATCCATAGTTGTTGACCTGAGGACTTGGTCATCATAAGTACAAACATGTTTTCCTGGATACTCGTCTCTCACCATTTTCTCAGCGAGCAACTGGAACAACTGCGTTTTGATTCCGTTAACTCATAGGAATTTTTTTCGGAATTCTAGTTGAGCCTGAGACTTTAATACTTATGCCACTTCCTCTACTTTCTCGGGTATCTACTTTCAAACTGTTACTAACATATCTGTCGAATACAATATCTATTCGTGAACTATTCTTCAGTTGATTTGTGAAATATGGTTTGAAAACATTCGGAAAATGTGCTAGCATGTGTATTACAGCTGCTCCATCAAATATTTTAGCTGTTACATTCGGTTGGCTGGTATTAAAGCTAATGTCACATTTTGTTTGAATGCGACATACAATCTACAGAACAGACATAAGTTGGAATCTTTACGCAAGTTAGCAATCTTGGACTTTGACTTATCTGTTTTTCTTGTAATAGTCTGAAGATGTGAATATTGGTCCGAGGAATAATTTCATGGATTGAATTTTGAACTTGATCAAGGCGGAACGAGACATATTCATCATACTGCTTCAGTCCTAAAGTGAATGCTTCCGTAACACACTTCATAGCTTCGAAACTTGGAATT